TGGATGTCCCTGAGGAGGCTGAAGAACTTGTCCACCAGGGGCACACACAGTGGGCCCAGGACAGTGTCCCAGTTGGGCTGCATGTACTCTGACGCATGTCTCTGGACATCATTCTCACAGCACAAATAATCTGCGCACGGCGTCACGATGTATGGGATGAAGTAATAATTTCCACTAGATGCCTGGAAAAAAAGAAACATAAGCGTTTCAGAAAGTAACAGATGGAGCAGCACAGCTGTGGCTTTGGGCAGCTGGGATGATGAAGGCGACCGTTAACGCCTGAGTAGACGACCCACGTAGTGCCTAAGGCATTTGACTGCTAACCAGAAGGCTAGCGGTTCAAACCCACGAGCCACTCCTCGGAATGAAGGTCCGGCAATCTACTTAACGTAGAGATACTGCCTTGGAAACCCACGGAGAGGTCGCTATGAGTTGGGACTGACTCGACAGCAATGAGTTTGGTTTGCTTTTATTAGATGACCCACAATGATGCAAAATGATTACATATCTCTTAGGCAGAAAATAGGGAACCACTCCATCTCACCAGCTGTCACACCTGAAAGGTTGGCAGTTCAAACCCACCTAGAGGCATGAAAGAAAGGCCTCAAAGACTGCTTGGCAATCCACTTTGAAAGGCCACAGCCATGAACCTAGGCAGTTCTACTCTGACACATAGAGTTGCCATGAGTCGGCATCCACCTGATGGAGGATGGTTTCTGGTTGAACATGTAGATATGTGGCATAAATTCAGTTTTAAATGTTGAGCTGGCCTGTATGTGACTCTGAACTTTTTTGGTAGAGATTTTAAGATTTTAAGTTTTAGAAATCACACCGTTTCATCGTATGCCCCCAAAACAGAACTTGTACTGATTGACCAACCAGAACTACAAGGCAGAGTGGCATTGCCTTTCTTTCAGCATGCGAAAGGTGTATTATGTGATAATTTAACGACTGATGAACTATAAACTTTGTAGAGTACAAACTATTTAGCAGGAAATAGACAATGATATGATTCGTCTCAGATGTCTGAAGAATTTTTTTTCCAAGTCAAATATTCCCCAAATCAAACCAAACCTGTTGCCAGAGTCATTTTGGACTCATAGCAACACTAGAGGATGGGGAGAACTGCTCCATTGGGTTTCCAAGGCAGTGGGATGGGCTCAAGCATGGCAATGATTGGTCGCAAGGACGGCACAAGACCAGGCAGTGCTTCCTTCTGGTGTACTCAGGGTCACTATGAGTTGGACCCAACTCAATAGCGCCTAACAACCACCTTTATGGAAGGAGACTGCCACAGCTTTCTCCCATGGAGCAACTGGTAGGTTTGAACCAGTGATGTTTTTTGTTAGCAGCTGAATGTTTAACCATTGACCTACCAGGGATTCCTAATACTCAGGTAAAACTATCTCTTTTCTAAGGAGTAATGATAGCTGGACTATGAATCATGACCATTTTTAAAGAGCATTCAAGGAGCTCTGGTGGCATAGTGGTTAAAGCATTCTGCTGCTAACCAAAAAGTCAGCGGTTCAAACCCACCTGCCACACTGTGGGGAAAAGATAAGGCAGTCTGCTCCTGTAAAGATTTACAGCCTTGGAAACCCACTGGGCAGTTCTACTCTGTGCTACAGGGTCGCTATGAGTTGGAATCTACTCAATGGCAGTGGGATTTTTTTTTTTTTTTCAATGACTATTCAAGGAATGCTCAACTTCTAGCATATTTGGAAGATTAAAAGGCATTTTTAGGGACTTCCAGTAAGATGGAGGAATAGGCAGACAAGCGACACAGACCCTCTTCAACAAAGAAAAGAAAAACCAATTGGCAGAGATACAGAAGATAATCCTGGAACCCTGAGCTTTGAAAGGAACTATGCAGAAGTGGATTAGGCACCAACTAGTGGAAAAACCTGAATGAAAA